TTTTGTCTAATTTTACATGCACTAAAATTATTTTACATTTATAACACTTATTTTACGTTTATTACATTTATTTTACATTTATTAAAAGTATTATACATTTATTAAAAGTATTATACATTTATTAAAAGTATTATACATTTACTAAAATTATTTTATATTTATTAAAAGTATTTTACATTTATTAAAAGTATTTTACATTTATTAAAATTATTTAACATTTTCGACTTTATCAGTTATCACGAGGATAGCACTTCTTTTCATGTTTCTGCCTTGAAATTGTTTAATACTTATTAAGTGGTTATTGATAATCCATACATAATCCAGATTTTCGATTTAATTCGTAGCACATCTTGCATATAAATCGTTCTGTTACAATTTCAGCGATTTTGAGCAACTTATTGTTAGACTGGTTCAGATAAATAAAAACGCCAATGATCAGAAACAACAAACTGTAAGACAAACATATTCAAAATTGAAAACACTTTTACTTATATTTAGATAGAACAATTTTATTAATACCATCGATTAAGAACTATTATTTACAGTAAGTCGCAATATTGTTAATACACGTAAAGAGTTAATAAGATTACGAAAAATATAAACATTATGAAAGAAATTTCTTTCTTTAAAATTGTTAAGAAATAAGAAACTTTCAATTGTTACGAAGAAACGAGATATAATAAGAAATTAACTTTTGTCGAAGTCAATACAGTAAATTCTCTCCAATTGTCCCTCAACTTCTAAATAAAAATGAACAATTTGGGAAGAGGAGATACGATTATTCGAACCTCGCAGCTCATTTTTATAGCTGTTGACAATCGGCGACTATAAAAACGAGCCACGAGACTCGAATAATCGTATTTCTCCTTCTCAAATTGTCTATTTTTGTTTATAAGCTGAGAGACAATTGGGGAGAATTTACTGCACTTCTTCTAGAGATTATCGTCATAATTTATCGATTATTGAGTCCCATGACATCCCTAGCCTATTAACCCTTACACGTACACAAAACACGTCAAGTGAAAAATAAAAGAAACAATAAATCTCTATGTTTAATTAAATCCCGTACAGTCGTCCGAAGGTCATGCTATAAATTCGACTCAACATGAGCTACAATAATACGAAGTAAAAAATATACCATGCAATTTAAAAGAATGACGGCGACCTTGATTTTTCTGAATAGAACATTTTTTCTGAGATTTGTTAAATCGTAATCTGTAACTGATTCACTTTTGCTCGGAACATTTTTTTGTCAGACTATCGGGAGTGCTCGAGGAATCGCGGCAACAGTTACGTGGAACACCCGGTATTTACGCTACCTTGACGGAACGTTTAACGTTATTTCGATAGATTTGAAAAATCGTCGAGTAGAAAAATCTTTTTCAAATAGAAAGCGCTCCGTCTAATAGCGTCGAGGAGCTTCGGACCACTGTAGGAATGCGTAAGGCCAACGTTTGGCCATGAACGTGTCAACGGAGTATGGATTCATGTTCAACAATCTTTGAAGAACGTGTGGAAGAAAGTATCGCCAACATTTTCTCGTTTTAACGATTCGAGCCATTCTTCCGGTTATTTCAGAAACATGAACGCTCGTTCGTTGCGCAGCCAATACAATTTCCAACGAGGAAACCGATGCACGTGCTAACAACGCCAATAAACACCTCGGACGGAAATTGCCATAACGATGATACAACCGGTACGAATTAACCGGTTGACTACTGCAATCCCTTTGAAAAGTTGCAAGTTACTGCAGTTATACTGTGTTTGCTTGATTTTCTTCATATTTCGTTTAAATACAACATTTTTATAAAATATATCATTTAATTAAGAATATTAAAGTATACAAGGTGTTGGATCTGTAACAAGCTATATCTTCGTTCTGGCTCGAGTTATGAAAAAATGTTAGAGGAGGAAAATGAATGGTCTTAAAGGACTCATAATGTGAAATAAATAGTTTTCCTGTAAGTGGATGCGTAAAGTTTATGTAAAGATCATCGACGTTTTTCTGAATGGATAATTACATTTTTCTTGCATATATTCGACTTCTTTCTTTATTCTGCATAAAAAGTGTTAGGGTAATATTATCGAAAAATGAACAATTTAAAAGATTTTTTTTAAACTTGTTCATGATGTTCCATTGCAAACTCGATCAAATTTAGAATATTTTCGAATATTTTTAGAATATTTTTAGAATATTTTTAGAATATTTTTAGAATATTTTTAGAATATTTTTTTTTATATGGTGATAAGAGAGTATTTCAGTACACGTTCTTCAAAACCTCGTTCGCCTTATCTGAAACTCCTAGAATTTTTTTTCCTACGAGAACACATAATAAATAAGGTACAAGCATATCCTGTTAATTCGGTAGGCGATTTAAAAGAACAAATGAGCCGTTTATTTTGAAAGTGGCTTAAGTCACTTTATCGTAATGAAAAGTGGTGATTTTTTAATGTTTATACGAAATTATTTATACTGAGAAAAATATCAGTATCCTGAGATAACAAATACAAGTAAATCTTCTCGAAAGTTAGCATCCATATTTTTAAACGTGTTAAAACGCAAACCCTTAAATATATCGACTTAAAAACAAAGAGACTCATGCCACTTTCAAAATAAACGGCTCAAATTACAGTTCATTGCAGAGCAATAATTAAGCAACAACTTCATTCGGCAATGAACACGATTAAAAAGCGTTGAACACTTTTTGTCGTTGAACATTTACTTCGATGAAGACATTTTTTCAAAAAATCTTTTAAACTATTCATTTTTCGATATTATTATACTTCTTTTGTGCGGGATAAAGAAAGAAAGAATTTCGCATCGAATAGTTTTCCTTCTTTAAATTGTTAATTATATTGATCTCCGTTGCATTTAGATTTTTCCGTGTGACATTTTTTGTATAATCAAAAACTATTGCACACACAATATCACTTTAAATACTGCACGACTAATATCAATAATTGGAAACAAAAATTCCTTTTCGTAGTGTTTAGTTTGCCAGTAACATGTTTAAATTTTTTGCCTCAGTTTTCGAGACCGCTGACTTAGGTACTTCATACAACTGAGCGACATGCTTTTCTAGAGTGCAAACAATAATGCTACCAGCGAAAGAAAAATAAATTTCTCCGTTACATGGAATTTTTCGCAATGTTCGTATGTTATAGTTTTGTTATGGTGTGTATTTTGGGCTATGACGAGTATAGTCGTTACGAATATCGAACC